TCCTACGATTCCCAAAAAACCCCAAAACGAATTAAAAAATTTTCCCCGGGGCCTGTAACATTATTTTAGGGGGCCCCAAAAACCCGAACACCCTTAAGTTTTTTGCTTTTTTCCTTCCCCCAACATATGTTCAAACGACATTTTCTTCGATCTTTAAAAAGTTTTAAGAATTGAACCCACCACATTTTGGGAAAAAAAAAAAAGTAAAGAAAAAGTGTACCTTTAACTCCTGGGTTCTTATTCTTTAAAAAAACCCCCCTTTCACCCCCCCACAAACAATAGGAGGGGCTCTCACCCCTCTTAACCCCAAGAAGCTTCCGCCCCCCCAACCTGGGGAGATAAGATTCCAATATGGAGATAAGAGTCTTATTTGGGAAAGCCCCTTTTAAACCCGACGTTTGCCTAGATATTCCGGGGAAATTTTTAATTATTAGTTTTTAGTTAAAATAATTGTCCAGTACAAAAAATTTTTGAGGTATTACGTCAGAATGTTTTTTGTTTCTTTCCCTTGTAAATTAATAAGTTTTTTTTTGTTTTCGACTTTTCAATAGGCTCGCGCCCCCCTCGTAGAGTTACCACGATCCCCTAGAGGGGCGCGCCCCACAGTTTGAGAAACACTGGAGTAAGGGATACTGGCTTGTTGCCCTTTGCCACCAGGGTGAAATGTATGGTGACCACCTTAGACACTGCCCTATTATTTTGAAGTTTTTTTGTAGACAATTTTACGGAGGTAAATTTTAATTCTTTTATGCTTCGTTATCATTTTATTGGCTGCTCGTCGACTAATGGCAGAGATGCCGAAGATGTGGGCGTAGGATTAAAAAAAAACATTTTCGGACAGAAAATTGCCTCTATTTTCATGAAAATTTGTAACATTGCAACTCATACTTTTGTTTATCATAAGAGTTGTTGAAACTGCAAAATATTCTATAAATAAATAATTATTCCTTTTAACATGTAAAGGGACAGCTCATTTAGCATTACGGTGTAGGAGAAAATGCGAAGCACATTTTACAAAATAATAAATGTGTCAAAACTAGGTTAAAATGAGTAATACGATTAAATAAGGGATTCGCTACGGGATAGTGAAGACAGAATAAAATATTGTCGGAGTACTTTTATATATATTTGAAAACATATTCCGAATTCAGGTCCTATTCTTTAACATTAACTGAAGTCAGCCTTAAGAGGGTTCAACCATGGGATAAGTTCAAAAAATCAACAACAAAAAAAAAAATTATTTCATAAATTGTTTTCTTAACGTGTCTAGAATACGCTGGTAAAGTAATTTTTTTAAATTTGAAGTAGCGTTATAAAGAAGTAGGTGTTAGAAGAAGAGCTGTTCGTAGCGCTTAGTTAATATTTTCATTGTTTTGATCGGACGTGAAACTTAAAACGCGTTTTCCTCAAAACTGTGTTTTTCAAACTTTCCTCTTACCTGTCTCAAAACGGTTTGACTGAATGACTTCAAACTTACAGGGTAGACTCAGCACATATATACACACCAAATGGACTGCGATCATATCACAAAATTCAAAATATTTCTATTCTTTAAAACAAAAACATAACAAGAATAACCGTGAAATTCGAAACTTTTTCTTCAGAGATCTACCAAAAATCCAGTTCTTGATATTTTCAATTGAGTATAGTTCATTCGGTGCATTTAAGCTAATAGATTAAAACGCGTTTAATATTTTTAATTCCAGATAAGGCAATCAGCCGGAATCGTGGAAGAAGTGAGCGTTCATTTTTTCGAGGCGGGTGTGCTCAGAGCGCTATAACTCCTTCTTTTTGGTCTTTTTACTCCTTTTAAGGTCCTTTTTTTCAAAAAAATTCCCTAAGAATGCTTAAAAACAGGTCGTCACATGGTTGATTAAATAGACTCAGGTCTAAGCCAGGCATCTTGCACTCTTCAACATAAAATTAGTCTTGTACAATTTTTAATAAATTTCTCAACGTTTACTGTATTTAAATGGCACAAAAGTATCTGGAAGAATAAATAAAATTTCTACGAGACTGCTTTTATCAAAAAGATATAAAAAATGTTTGTAATGTGTTTCTTAAAACTTCGCAAGCTACGAATGAATTATCAAAGCAGAGATAAATTGTTTTCGAAACAGAATGCAAAGAATATCATTCCTTGTTTTTCTTTTCCTTTCGGATGCAATGAAGAGGTAATTATGCATTTTATAATATTAACATTACAACATAGCTGGTAGGTGGATGCCTTAAAAATTCCAAAAACCTTTCAGTGAAAATTATGTCTCTCATTTAATGATCCAACATAGAGTTTACTTTTGTAAACCCATGTAATATGTTTTCGGGATGCCTAGGATCTTCTTAGTTTTCGACTCTCCTCTTTTTCCAATTAATATTAATTTTTCCTCTTACTTTAACTTTAAGTATGAATAGCAGAAATTTATTATTAACAATTATTTCATGCTGTTCTCAGTTACTCGTAAACTAACTAGAAATGATTCATTTTGCAAAATGTTTTCGCTAATAAAATCAACTTTAACACATCAACTTGATGAATAAAAGAATATTACAGAAAATTCTCGTTTAAATTTTTTTTTTATTTTTATAACAGATTAATTTTAGTTATGTAACAACATTCATACATTTAATAATTACTTCCTAGTTAAATAAAATGATACAGTCCTGGACAGTAGCGCACACAGGAATTTTTCAGAAGGGGGCCAGGGTCAAAAGTTCACCATTCTTGTATCATGCTCCTTTTGATTTTGTCAATTTTCGGGAACAAAACACAGTAAAAAACTAATTATTGAATAAATAATTAACATTATAATAAATTAATCATTAATAACAAAATTTAATAAATTTACGTACTATATTCTTAGAATTTTTTTAAACAATGGAAAAACATCAAGGGGTTTGGGGGTGGACCCCCAGAACCCTCCCTTTTTGTGGGCCACTGGTCCTGAAATATCTAGCTTCTTAAATGAAACGTCGATTTAAATTTAATTAAAAGGAAAAAATTCCTACATTCAAAAAGGGAAATCCCTTTTCGAAGAATTGTCACTTTTGGAAGCAATTAAATACATTATTAAATCCCAAATTACGTGATATTCTCTTTCCTGCAGTGCTTCTCAAGCTTTCAATATTTGTGACCCAATATTCAATCATAATTTTCACAACTCGCCCCTCTTCCTTACAATAACAATGTATTGTGAATTCAGTAATATACTTTACTTTGACGCTACAGTTACAATACTACTTAAATTTCTTAAGTGCCACCGGTGTATAAAAACGTCTCCCTCACAAAAAGCATTAATTGACCCGGACGTATATATACGTCTTTCCGAAGTACGATCTTTTCTGTGCACGGCTATCCATAAAATTATTTTGAAAGATTTGTAATGCAATAAAAAGACCTTGACTGTGTTTGTGAAGGATTTACTTATTTTAGAGGATTTACTTTTATTCCTTTTCTTAACCATCACATATGCGCTCAGGTGCCGTCCTCATCACTTGACCATGGTTGAAAATTACGAGGTCCGTCGCCAAAAGCCCTCATGTAGCTTAAAAGTGCGACGTTAATATTTACACACTCACTCACTCACGCATCACATATGCGTACCTACGTGGAAAAGGGAGGCTGGTACTGGGGAGTGAATCACGTAATTTTTTATCTCGTTACGGGATTAATTATAAACCGAACAAATTATCAAGTGTTAATTTTTGTATATAATTTTATGTATGACAAACCCATGGGGTCACTGGTAATTATTAGACTTGTTCTTATAGTATTATTAAACTAACTATGAAATGCATTGTGCAATACTGATAAATTTTTAAGTTTATTATAGCAGTGTAAATGTATATTTTGTTTTGTCAGAATGTTTTGTTTGTTTACTTTCAATAAATTAATAATTTTTTTTAGATAATCTTTTGTTTACGACTTTTCAATAAGCTCGAGCTCCCAGTGTTATCATGCCCTCCCCCAGGGGTGCGCCCCATAGTTTGAGGAACGCTTTACTGGACTTCGAATTGTGATACCAAAATATCTGAACATTACGATTCGTGTAACTCTTAGGAAGGCACCAATTCTAAAACGTTCTAATAATTGAAACAAGTTATATTTTCTTGAATCAAATATACAAACAATACGATTAATAAATTACCTCCTTAACACTGTTCATTGCTGGAGTCCAGAAAGTTCAACACTCCATTCATAAGAAAACAACTCTCGATCCAGCAGTGAACGCGTTCTAAAACGGAACCTAATCATACGCTTCAATCTCTTCTCACGTCCCAACCACTATCACCCTATCCCTTCCATTAAAGGCGAACGAGTTAAATGGTGCTGAGAACCAGTCACCTAAACCCCATTCTCTTTTCTCGCAGTGTCTTCTAGCAGAAGGTGACGCGTTTAATCAACAACTCCAAACGATATACCCCGCAGGGGGAGCGGAAGGAAAATAATAATTGATTTATCGAGCGGGTAGTGCAATTGAATATCCTGGGTCCTTCCCGCCTAATCTTGGGTGGATTAGGAGGTGGCGGATAATTGCTGGGAACATGCAACTCGGGCGCTGTCACTTCAACTCTCCTCTTTTGTCTTTCCGCCTGTCTTTCAACTCTCTCAGCCTTCAAGACATCGGAGGAAACGCATCTTGGCGGAAGATGCTGTCAATGGACTCTCATAGGATGCTGATGGACAAGACCAAGATCGGGGATTTCTTCTTGGACATTGACTTCTATTGTAGTATAAATGTATTTCAATTCTCTCTCCCTGTATATATTTATTTTTATACTTATATATCTTTTCAAATTTCCAGTCGTTAATAAAATACTTTCTATTCAGCTATTTAAATTCAAATACATTTTTTTTAAGCTTGCAGTGGATGGCACTTGATGTTAATACAGTTTTTTTTTCAAATATTAATTCATTCATTAAATTAAAAAAATGAATAAATGGTAACAAGCAAAAGTAATAGTCCAATAGCATATATAGAAGGGAAAATCGTTCCTTTTTGGTTCCTGTAGCACAATGGATAGCGCGTTGGACTTTTAATCCAATGGCCGTGAGTTCGAATCCCACTTGGAATGGCTTAATTTCTGAGAATGTTACTTCTTTTTTACTATACTATTTTATTAGAATAATTTATAATTCAATTAATGAATAAGTAGTACCACACAAGCAAAAAATAGTCCAACACCCTATATAGAAAGAGAAATGGAAAATTGCAAGAAAAATCGCTTTCTATTTTGTCACTTAATATTGTGATTCTGTCATACGTATATACATGTTTATATTAATTTTAACTATTAATAAAAAGTAACTAAAATAAAAAATTTCTTTGTTGACCTAAGTAAGAATTGACTTAAAATTTTGTTTTATATTATTTGTTTTGTATCATGAGATATGCTTTAATAGTGAAGGGGTGATACTTTATGAATGAAATGCTTTAAATCTTTTATGTTAACAAAATAATAATAATAGATGTAATATCTGTGTCCTCTTTATAAGGTTCATATTATATTTGTGGATTCAACCAGTAGCGCACACAAGGGGGAATCTCGGGTCCAGACCTACCATAGCCCTTGATTTTTTTCCTTTGATTGATTATAATCTTATGTATATAGTACGTAAAATTTAGTTAAGTATTTGTTATTAATGCAAATTACTTATTCAATAATTAAGTTTGTAATGGTTTTTGTTCCCAAAAATCGACAAAATGAAAAGAATACATTGGGCAGCATATTGGAGCATGATACGAGAATGGTGGACTTTCAACCCCGGACCTCCTCCTCCCCTTGAAAAATTCCTGTGTGCACCATTGTATTTAACTTTTTAGGTTATTTATTTTCAGAAATTTCTTTTCAATGTTTGCAAAGTAGAATTTTCTTCCGAAGACATCCAAATCATGAATGCGAAATCTTAACTTTTGAATCCACTAAATGCATCTATTTGTTTTTTGTTATTTTATTTTTGAGAACTTCTTCTTACAGATAGGAATAATTAAAACAACTTTTGTCTTTTAAAATAAATAATATCAATTTATATCAATCAGCATCTTAAAGCTAAGAATTTTAGAAACATCGTTTTCCCCTTCTCCTACTCCAATCTTACGTAATTCTTTCCTTTCTTCTTTTGAACATCAGCAGATGTTGGATTGTGTGTGTATTTAATAAGGCATTCTCATAAAAAGGGATCTCATTTTTTTTGTGTAAATTACCAGTATTCAATGGATACAGGTCGTTTCTCTCGGCATCTCGCGCGTTTCTTAAAATATGTGTAAACGAGTTCATCCTCCAAGAATGGGGTGAACATTTTGAACATTTATTATGAATGCAGGTTCAAATTCCCTTATGTGCTTTAGAAATACTTTTCACGACTAGCATAAACATATGATTTAAAAGAAATGTGTTGTTTTATGTATTATATTCTTGAACCGTTAATTAGATAAATAAATACGAGATGTTTTTTCGAAACCTTAAGAGATGCATGAAGTAGAGAAGGAAATGAAATGTTTTGGTGAGCGCATTGACAATATCGACTTTAATCTTGAACCTTTCTTATTCCTTTCATGCTCATTTGCCATTCCAGTTCTAAATATAGTCCAAGAAGTATATCTTTACAGTGGTTACGCCAATTCAGAATCCCGGCAAATACGAAGCATTCCACCATATAGGAGGGCTACGCTGAGAAATGGCTCTTCCTCGGCCATCCCAAATATGTTTAATAGGATTGACATCCGAAGACCTCGAAAGCCAATCCATACAGCGAGTATCCTCATCTTCATGAGATTCATCAACAATATGAGCTATGTGGCGGCGCGTTATCGTCCATAAAATGTAGCCCGGGCCAAAACACCCAGAAAACTCCATGTCTTCAAGGACCTCATCCATATAGCTCTGTGACTTGAAATTAACGATCAAAGTTTTCATAAAAGGGGACTCCCCAATTGGCCATGATGCATAGTGGTAACATCAGGAGTTTGAAATTCGTCGACAGGGAAAAGACTTTTTCATCTTTCATTTGTTCCTGTCCTGCATCTCCCACTCATTTGATTGACAGTATTGGAGCCTATGTAAGAGTGAGGAGGAGAATGGACTTGTGGAAGGAACATAAGAGCTACATGGTATCATGGATTTGATCTAGGTATTTGAACCAGAGGGACATGAAACAATTACAAAATTGCCCAACATTTTGCCCACCCTCCCTCCCACACAAGGATTCCTTTGTCATCAAATCTGTCGATTTTTGTTACATAGGTGGGATGAAAACGAGCTACACTTTCGTCCCGAAAAATGGAATAACTTTGTCGGGGGAATTTAATCTTCAGAAAAAAAGCGCGCCCCCCTTTTTATATCTCCAAGGGATGTTCCCCAAAAAAATAAGAGGTCCTTCCTGTTGTGCCCCAAAAGAGATACAAAAAAGGACCAGAGTAAAGGCCAGCCCTCGAGCTATAGAAGGTACTTTGAAATTCTTATTGTCACAGCAGAAAGATCAAGAGCCGACTGAGGAGCCGTTGTCCACCTATGTCATCGTGCGCTTAATTCTCAGTAGCAATCCTGCGCAGTTGTCGTTGCTCTGTGGTGAACTTGGCCAACCTTCCTGGTGACAGTACCACTTGTTTAGAATTTATTCCACAGCCGGACCACTTTCGGTGCCGCTTATAAATATACCTGTACTTGAAACAGGCCATCTTCAAGTCTGCCGATTTTTCCCCATCTCAAGAAATCATCTAAACCAGTGATCCGAACCCGGTCCCGTGCCCCGCCCGGTCCGTGATCAAATGGCCCGGGCCCGCTAAAGAACATTAAACTTTGCCATTTATTTAAAGTGGCTTTTTCCCGGATTTCCCAACTTCCAGGAAATCACTTTATATTCCAGGGTTAAATCACTTTATTCATTTTGGTGAATATTTTATTTTTGAAGCATATTTAATGTAATTTTAAAAATTGTTAAATAAAAACACTAAAATATAAACAATAAACGGCCCACCTCGCGCCGCGTAAAATTATCAAAGGTTAAGGGTCCGCAGTGATAAAAAGGTTGGAGACAAATCTAAACGATTACAAAGCCTACATTGAAAACGGCTAACTTACTTGTTTTAATGCAATATTCATAAAACTGCAGACAAAAATCTCACATGCTTACACGGTCTCAGTCCATTAGTTCTGGAAATACTAAAGCAAAACCACTTCTTTTCCTAAACCTGAGGTAGATATTATACTATATGCTCTTCAAAATATATAAAATATTCATATTCAATCTGTTTAATTGGAAGAAATTTAGAATTATATCGAAAAACATGTTCATGACCTTAATTTTGGACTTGAATGTAGGTTTAGATAAATTCAACTTACAGTAAGGTAGCTTTAAACTAGTATATTTTTAATTTTTGGTTTCAAAAGTTTTATTATATATATCATACTTAGTTTATGCAGGAGTTCTATGTCCATGATGGCCAAATGGTTATTATTGTTAACTCGTATTCGGTGCTTTTCCCGACCAGACATGGGTTCGATTCCTGGGGCGTCATTAACGTCATGTAAAAGTCTGTCTAGATTCAATGTTCCGCATTGGCGAGGTGTTGAAGTTTAGAGAGGGAGGAAGCAGCTCATGTGCCATGATCTTCGTTTACATGGAGGTCAAATTTACGTAGTCCTTCACCAATAGTCCACAAAGTGTGACGTTAATAAAAAATCAATCAAACAAGAACTTTCGAGCTGAGAATCGTAGGAATTTGGATTAATTTTTTTAAAAAAACCCTTATATACTTTTTAGAACATCACGCGTGTGCTAATGATTGTTATTACTCTACAAAAGTGGCAAACTGGAATGTATAGATATAGAGTATGGCAACATTTAACTTTGCGAATTTCAGCTATATAATTTACACATCTTACTTTTTTCAGTTAACTTATTCATTTTTACTTCAAATCGAGGTGCACTCTTATTTTTGATCTCAGTTATTTATTATCTATTATTTAGTAAAATATATAGAGCAATATTAGTAAATACTTCCTTCTTTACGAATACAACTATCTATACACTCTGGAAGTATAACGTTTCATACAAATTACTATCACATCGAGTAATATTAAATTTATAACCGACACTGATTATGGTGAGTAAAAAAAGTTACTGAAAATTCAGACAATCGTAATACACACTTTTTTTAAAAAATTATTTAAATGAAAGATCTTTTTTTCGTATCTTGAAAAAGGAAATTGGATAATGTATTCCATATTCTTTATTGTGACTTTAACTTGTTATTACACATATGATTAAAGTCAATGACAGCAGAAACGACGCCGCATTTATTCTTGTTAGAAGACACTTTGTAGGTTTTCGGCTCATTTTAGGCCATTAAGAAAGTCGTTAGCGGTTCTTTTTGAAGTTTTTCATTTCGTTGCAATCATTTTATCCTTTATTATTCCATGAAAAAGTATGCCAGTCACATTCTAGCTATCTTTCTGAGATTCTTTACCTAAATTTATATCTCATAAGCGATTCACAACTGATTTTTTCTTAAATAGAATTTTACTTCATAATAAACATCAATTTTAATAATTTTGTACCAAATAAGTTAGTGAATTCCTGCTGAATTACTTAAAATTATCACATTCCCCCACCCCCATCCTTTTTTTTTTAATTTTACAAATTTAAATATGACATGACATGAAGTCTGTCACAGAAGAAACTATAAATATATATATATATATATATATATATATTCTATCGAGGATTACGGAAATATATCTTTAATTATAAAGTTTTCGTATTCAGATTTTTTTTATCATATCACGAAAATTGTTGTGTACTTAAGTTAAAAAGATCATTTCTTTTGGAAAAAAACGCATTTAAATGGTGTTTCCCAAGAATGGAACTATTACATAAATTTCAATACAAACTCTACTTACAGTTAGGTTCAAGATTGTATATTATTGATAAATAAATAATAATGACTTAAATGCGATAAATATAATATTAAAAAAAATAAGATATATCGTTTAATTGGATAAGAATCATAATATTATACTACTAATTTAATGTTACAAATTATTTTTATCTCACATTTTTAAGAAATGTGTAA